GAGGTCAAAGTCCATTATTAGAACTGGCATGACCGATTTACCAGACTCGACAATGCGGTTGGAGCACAAAAAGGTCAAGTCATCCTATCTTTTCCACTCATACGATAGTTTCCATCTCGAGTCTACCGGATGGTTGGAGGTTGCGCTTTGGAAATACGGAGTAAAGGCTGTGAAAAATTTTTCCAATTGCAATTCGTGTAAATAAAAATGCAATGAAAATAAGTGCCATCAGCATACTAAGCTTTATTGTGACACATCTTTTCGTCTCGAAGGCAAAGTTAGTTGAGAGGAATTGGTCAATTGGTCCCACCGGAGAACAAAGGAGGATTGTGGCGTAGTGAAGGCTGTTCGACTATGCCAAGAAGTCCTCGGCTCACCATCCTGCGACCACGATGAACCCGCGCGAGAATGCGTCATTTACGAAAAAATGCGCTAAATACCATAATCCGAGAAATGAAACCAAGCATATTTGGCGAGTCCTGTTGTAATTTGTGGTTTCTCGCAGGAAAGTGAGCCAACTACTTCTTGGCACATTCCAGTAGTCTTCACTCCAAGGCAAACCACCGATTTTCGGTGAGACCAATTCACGAGATGCTTCCACCCAAATTAGCCCTCAAAATTGCAATTAATGTGACAGATACACTTAAATTGCACGCAAACAGCCAAAACGTGGGTGCTCCCTGGGTCGTATTGGCCGGGAGGCACGTCCGCTCGTCTGAGCCTCGCTTCAGCAAGTACGCTCAGCCCCTCTCTTACTCATCGCCTTGGTAGGCCCTTGTTAGCCCATTTGTCTTCTCACTCCGCCTCCCGACTTGCAGGGCTTGCCAAATCAGCAAGCGCCACCGACAGCCAATCAGGCGCATCAGAGAAAAGACATTCACTCCAAACTCTCGATGCTCAGTCTACCAATCAGAGGCAAGGCCATGAACTTCAAGCTGCTACTCGCCTCATATTTTGTGTTTGTAGATGAACAGGCCATTTGGAACCGGCATCGTTTCCTGCCCTTTATTGGGCCCAGACTTCGCCCCATTTCCAAAAACCAGGTCAAAGTACTGACACCAATCAGAAGCATGTCTTGACGTCTCACAAAAAAGACCTGCTGACAAGAGGCCCTGGATTGGTGCACTTCTAGAACCAGGGGTCTACTCGCCTCTTCGCTCCTCCAATGAACAGTCCACTTCATCAGCCGCCTGGCCACGACACCAACACCGCCGTCGCTCCGCAGATCGCCTTCTCATTCTACCAGCGAATTTACATTCCAGCCGTGGCTTCTTCTCTCCACGAGAGGTGTCTTCACTCTGTCAAATGGGCTGCCATTCCACAAACGGCCTTTCTGTTTGACCGACTACCATTCCAGTAAATGGTACCTCTGAGGAGAAGTTAGTTTTCTAAGCAACGTTTTATCAATGTAATGTGATTCGACTTTTCATTTCGAAGAGGTGGCTAGTTCGAAAGGATTCGTGAATTGGCATCGTCAGGATTTCAGTATCAGACTTTGACAAATCAACAACCGTGACAACATCAACTTCACACATGTGGTAACCCATCAAATCATGGGATGTCGGTACACCTTTTATTTCGTTTGAAGAAGCGAGTCGAAGGGAAGCCGAAGAAGGATTGCGCGAATGAGTGCCCCGTTGGTTTCAGGTGGATCCAGCTCATGAATCCCTTTCAATCAACTTTTGCTTAGAAGTGAAGAGTCGACTCACATGATACAATTGAGCCGATATCTCCCCACTTCGCCAACTGATATTTACTCCGACCTATTTTTACACTTCACCGATATCCCTTCTCCCCAACCAACCGATTTCCACCCCATTGAAGGTCTCTCCCTCCCACCATTGCCGCCTCGAGTCAATCGTCAGCCTCTCCACTCAATCGAATATCTCATCACTTCATTCAATACTTTTTCACTTCACCGAAGTCTCCATTCCACCGACAGCATCTTAGCTCCACCAACTTCTTTTCCACTCCACCGAGTTCTCATTCCCCTTAACTGATTTCTACTGCACTGAAGGCCTCTTGAATACACAAACAGCTTTCCCATCCAACCTAGTGCCCCATTACTTTATCAACAGACTATTCATTCACCAACTTCTTCTCAGCCCCACCTTCGTCTTCACTGTAGCCCATGAATTCCGCTCCTCCGAGGGCCTCTTTTCCCCCCCACAACCATATCTTCTGCATCAACTTATCTCTTCGATCCAGGACCAAAGTGTCTTAGCCATGGACAAGTTTTCTATTCCTAGATCCGTAGACTTATGTTGGAATACCATTAATTTTGTTGAAAGAGACTAGTGGATGCGATTGGTAAGCTGGCCAAAGCAGGATTGCCTTGGATTTGTGGCTGTGGCTTATGAGAAGAAGTCCTCGGCTCAGCGTCCCTCGATCCCGATTCATCCATGCCCAGCTTTTGTCCATCATGCGACTGGGATCGTCAGAAAAGGACACCATGCTTTACGATAATTGACCAAGTACCAAGACAAGGAGGTGGCCCTTCCCAGGTCTCATCAGTCTCCTTTCGATTTCACCTACAGCCTTCCCACCCCGCAGACGGAGTGCTTATTTTCCATTTTCTCACATTCTTCCGGATTCCTTTTTCTCCACTAAAGTAGTTGCTACTCAGTCAGCAGTATCATAGCTCCACTGACTTCTTTACACTCCATCTAGTTTCCTCTAATCCATTGCCAGCT